GCCGGCGGCAGAGGATCGGGAACATCTCCCGATCGAGAATAGGATGGAGGTGGGGTTCGAGCAGGTGAGGCTGTGCGTGATGCGTGGGGTCGAGCGAGCGCTCACGAGAGGGGAGGCAGAAGGGGAGGGACCATGGCGACGGCGAGGAGTGTTGCTGCTGCAGATCAACTCACGTTGAAGGTTGTTGCTGCTTTGTGGATGTGTGGACGCGCTCGGGCGCGTGGATCTAATCCAGCTCCCACGCACTTGTGAAGAGGGGCTGCGCTGGGCGTCGGCCGCCTCGCGTGAGCTACACACGCGTCCCCTTGGTCCCACACCACCGCCTAGGCCTACCTCATCTTCTGGTCCAGTAGTTTCTTATCCACACGCAATCTCTCCTTATAGATTCATGCGCCCGTAATTAACAACATTTGCTTAGCCACTTGAAAATACAAAAGCTCAGGTTTTATGCCCGGTACTGAATGTTTTAACCACCCATGCTGAATAAAATACTCCCGCCTTTTCTAAATATAAGTTTCTAAAGATTCCAGTATGACTATATGCCGAGCAAAATGGGTCAATCTACACTTTAAAATACATCTATATACATTCATATGTAGTCCATATTAAAATTTATAAAAAAAAACTTATATTTAGGAACAGAGAGAGTAGTACCTAGGCACTGAATTAAAATGGGTTGATAGCATATCATCAACGAGAACAGACCAAGGTAGAGACCGATCACACATTTACGTACCCTTTTTTCCTTTTTTTCCCTCCCTACATCCGGATAGTTCCTAGAGCTGGCCATAGAGATATCATGGTTGTGTCAACTATTAACTAAAATGGGATTAAGGCTATGCATAATAATATATTTGTAACTCCCTTAGGATTAAAATATGCACTAACATATTGAATTGCTCCGGTCTAATCTATACCTACTAATAAAAGAAATAGGTATTCTTGGTGCGTCATGCTATTTTGTAGGAAACGCCGTCAAGTTTTTGGTAATAAATCTGTAGTACATATTAATTGATTTTTAAAATATCCATAGCTTTTTAACCCTAACTCTAAATTTAACATGTTATATATGAAATTTGATTACAAAAATATGTAGAATCTGAATACGATATTATATTTAACTGTTATCATCCTGTGCCGAAAGGGAGACGTCTTAAGATTGACAACATTCAGACGTGTTGTGATGGTATGAACACTAAGAACCAGCGTCGACAAGAGTAGGAAGAAGGATAAATAGAAACACAAAGGGATGCCATGTGTTGAAATAAAGGACATGACCTACAAATTCATAGTTATTAGATTAGTGAGTGTTTTTTCATCCGTTGCAACGCACAAACTCATTTGCATTGTATGCCGAGGGGGAGACGTCTTAAGATTGACAACATTCAAACGTGTTGTATTGATATCAACATTGAGGCCAGCGTTGACGAGAGTGAGAAGAAAGATAAATAGAAACACGGATGGAATGCCATGTGTTGACATAAATGATATGGACCTACTAAAGTTTAGACTCATGGTTATTAGATCGGAAAGTGTTTTTTTTTCACCCGTTGCAACGCACGGGCTCATTTGCTAGTAATAATAAACCAGCGATTGTTTCTGGTCATCCGTCATCGAGCTTTTTGCAAAAAAGTCCCTACTGTTCTTTTATTCAACCCGCGGTCCTCGTCATAAGTCAACTCGAACCGGTACAAAGGAAAAAAAATAACCCAGCCCCGCCTCCGCCTCGCGGCGCTCTACCCCGCCCCACTGCGCGCCGTCGGCCGCCCCGCTGGCCGCTTCCTGCCTCCCACCCAGAAACGGCGACAGGCATTTGCCAACGGACGGATCTAGGCGTAGGAGGGTTAGAGAGGCGCTCGGAAGGCCAATGAGGCTGGGGGCGCCGGATCCAGAGTTCGGTGTGGCGCCATGGTTGCTCGGTGAGCTCCTGCCAGGAAACATGGCGGGGCGAGATTTAAAGGGAGATAGGAGAGAGAAGGGGAAGGGAGTAGCGACGGAGTCTGCTGCTCACCGGCGAGGGCGACATGTGGGGAATATAGACGTTCCGTCCAGTCCGACTGACGAAGGATTAGGGGAGGGGCGGGCTGTGGAGACTTCGGGGTGGCTGGTGGAGATGCTGGCCTTGCCGGAAGGCCGGAGGAGGCGACTGGTGGCGGCTCGACATGGCTGCACTACACGGGAGCGGAGGCAAGAATTTAGTAGCCAGTCCGTGTGGATGCAGATGAGATCCAGCCGTGATGAGGGGGTGGGGTCTCATTTGACCCGCGCCCGATCCACTCTTGGGCGTAGCATCCGAGGACGCACCTCGCAGCGCCGGCTCGCATCGCGACTCTCCGAGGTCGGGTCGCCGGCCGGCTGACATTGCTTTGCGGCTGTCGGAAGCAACGGGCCGGCCTGCATGAGGAAAGGAAACGGGAGGCAGATAGTTGTCACGGCCGCCGTGTGCAAGTCAGCTAGCCCATTGGCAGCGTTGCCGAAGCCCGCGTTGACGGCCACCAGCGCCTCCCCGTCCCCCTCAGCCGATGCCGCCAACAACCCAGGAACAACCCACCGACGCCACTACAGGTCGTAGCGGTGCGCGACTCCAAAGCAACTGTCCCTCCTCAGCTACCAGCCTACCAACACTACTCTAGCACCGCTGCAACGCCGCTCTTGCTCCTGGGTTGTGATGATGGAGCGAGGCAGCCGATGTGCCGGACTCTACAGGCAGGGGAAAAGCAGAGATGTGGTGTTCCGCTGTGTGGTGTGGTACCGAGAGAGATACGGATGGGGCAGAGATGTGGTGCTGGGGAGATAACGTGTACGACTTTGTCAGCGGAGAGTTGATAAACTGGGGATGGACATGTATGACGCGTGGAGCCACCAGCACAGCAAGACTGGTTTCTTCTAGCAATCTCTTTTTGTGGATACTTCTAGCAATCGGCCTCTCGAAAAAAGTTTGGGTGATAACGTGTGCACGCATGTCGACAGATAAATGTTTTCCTGTTTTTAGTTACAGTTGATTTAGTTTGGATCCCGCACAGACAGAAAATATCCCCAATTCCATCATGCACGCGTGCACGCATGTACTTGTTCTCCAACATTCACACGTTGCCCGATTTGGTGCTAAATATTTTCGTTATTAGGTTGGATACTTATGTTTGTCTCCCTCACAAATTCATACTGACTGAATATCTGGATACGAAAATAGGAAGGTAACAAAATATTTATATATAGCATACACGTCGAACGAAAATAAATTCTAAACTTCTGTAGCAATAAATATCAACTTGAACTTCAAGCCAAAATACATGATTCTAATGCTTATGTGCAGTGTAATTAACAAAAAAATTGAGTTTATGATGCAAAATCTAATCAATTTATTTCTTAATTAACACATTCTAGAAAACTCTCACGAGGGCAAAATAATGCGCATGAGAAAAAGCAAAGTTATGCAAATATGCAGTCAAAGCAAAAGAAAGTTAGAATAGACCAAATTACGTCTACCTGTGAATTGAGACGCAACAGACTAGGCAAAGACTTAGTCCTACATATATCGCAACAAAATAGCAACTTAAAACATCTATATGACAAGGACTTCACGGTCAGCACACATGATAGAAGCATACATGTTTTGACGTTAGACATATACCGTGTTTCTGTTGTCTGATGATGTCACTAAATCAAAATAAGTATTATGTGTGTTTTATTATCGGTATGGTAATCTAAAGATAGAGTTGTTCACCCGATTAGTTAACTAGGATTCATGTCCCATGTTCCGAACTAGCGCCCCAAAGAATCCTATTGTCAATTGAACTATCATTTTTGTCATCATCAAACTTATCCTTTACCTTGCCAGCCTAATTGGGACAATTGGCATTTGCTTCGCAATGAAGCAAGTCAACTTATTTTTCTCCCGTTGCAATGCATGGGCATGTTTACTAGTTGACCCTAAAGACTCAATCTGTTACCAGAGTTGGTAACGGAAAAAAAAAACTCTGATCCTCACCCCATCCTCTCCCACACCCACTGGCCAGTGGCCATATATCAATGTTGGATCTAACTTTTATCGCTTGAGTTAATTAGTAGTTAATTTTCATTTTACGTACTAAACAAACAACCAAATCTTATTCGCATCTTTGATATTTGCAGGTTCGCGTGTAAAAATCATTGCAGGTACTACTCCTATCCAAACTTTTATCTTTACTAAAAAAAGATGAAATTGAAGTATATATCTGCTGCACATAAAGTAATTAGCTACCTATTCCCGCTCTTACATTCTCTCATCCCCATTACAATCGCTAAAGCGGCAATTTCCAACCCTAAGGAATATCCTGATTTCCATGTATTCAGCTACATCATCTTCGGCGGCATTTGTTGTTCTTCTGTTGATGGTGGTCCCTGCTCTTTATCTTCCGCTGAAGACAAGATACAATGAAGAGATACATTTGAAAGTCGAAATCTTTCTCAAGACATATGGTACATCAAAACCCACAAGGTACACTTCCTCTGAAATCAAGAAGATAACCAGACGATTCAAGGATAAATTAGGACGTGGTGGATTTGGGTGTGTGTACAAAGGTGAGCTACAAAATGGAGTTCCTGTGGCGATCAAGATGTTAGAGAAATCTAATGGAGAGGGGCAGGAATTCATCAACGAAGTTGCAACTATCGGGAGAATCCACCATACAAACATTGTCCGCCTCCTTGGCTTTTGCTCTGAAGGGACAAGAAGGGCTCTTATTTATGAATTCATGCCTAAAGATTCATTGGAGAAATATATATTCTCGGGTAATTCTATTGTTCCCCGAGAACTCCTGGCACCAGATAAAATGCTAGATATTGCTTTAGGCATTGCTAGAGGAATAGAATACTTGCATCAAGGATGCAATCAGTGCATCCTCCACTTGGACATCAAGCCTAACAACTAAAGCTTTAATCCGAAGATCTCAGACTTCGGCCTTGCAAAGTTGTGTGCACGGGACCAAAGCATCATTACCTTAACTGCAGCAAGAGGCACTATGGGCTACATTGCACCAGAACTATACTCTAGGAACTTTGGAGGGATATCCTACAAGTCAGATGTTTACAGTTTTGGCATGCTGGTGTTAGAAATGGTGAGTGGGAGGAGGAACACAGACCCAAGTATTGGGATCCAGAACCAGGTATATCTCCCAGAGTGGATCTATGAGAAAGTAATGACTGGAGAGGAATTGGTGCTTACTTTGGAAGTGACAGCAGAAGAGCAAGAAAAGACAAGACAGCTGGCTATTGTGGCACTTTGGTGTATTCAGTGGAACCCAAGAAACCGGCAATCGATGACAAAGGTGGTAAACATGTTATTGGGAAGTTTGCAGGATCTGCAGATGCCCCTTTGTCCCATCTGACAATCGCCGCACGCCATAACAAAAGATGAAGATCGTATCACCATAGTGTACTAGGCCTACATGCTTGAGGGATATATTTAATTCATGTACTCCCTCCGTTTCTTTTTACTCCGCATACAAGATATGTTTGAAGTCAAACTACGCAAAGTTTGACCAAATTTATATTAAAAAATGTCAGCACCTACAATACTAAAGTTATATAGTGAAAATTAATTTTATGATGCATCTAATGATATTGATTCCAAATTGTGAATGTTGATATTTTTTTCCTTATAAAGTTGGTCAAACTTTACTAAATTTAACTTCAGAAAAAAATTATATGGAGACTGAAAAGAAATGGAGGGAGTTTTAAATGCTAAACTAGATTACATGGTAGTGCAATTGGTAGCAGTAGTATGTACAACTTGAAAGGTTCGTTGTTTAGTCAGCTTCCTGGTGCATCTTATGAGCCACTATATTGTGATAACTATGAAGTAGAAACATATGTAATTGGATTTGATTTGCAATGAAGTAGTTAAAGAATGAGGAACCTGGTAGTTATTGTTGTGAATTATCTTCTGCACTATTTTTTGATTCTGTAGTACACTAGGCATCCCAGTTCCTCATTCCGAATGCAATTAGGAAAAAAAACGAAAGATGAGGTTATGTATACCTAAGCAAGCCCAGATTGCGCGGAGGAGCTGAGCTAGCCAATGGGAGAGAGCATGGTGGTGACCGGCGGCGACGCTGCTGCCGTCGTTGGAATTAACCACCAGCGCCGCCACCAATGGTACCGCCCCCCAGGGAAGAAAGGAAGACAGAAGGGGAGGAATAAAGTAAAATAATCTAGCTAACATAAGATACCACGCGAGCGCCTCGCCGCACCCGCCGCGGCCGACTGGACGCGCCGCCACCGCCGGGGGCATGGCTTTTTTTTTCTTGAGACAGCCGGGGGCATCGATAAGGATGTCAACCGAACAGGCTCAACTACGCGGCCCATACAAAGTAAGTAGTAGTACAAAACGTTCATGACCCAGATCGACCAGCAGGGCCTGTCCACTTCCTAGTGCATGCAATACTCAAGGCCTTCAGATGGTAGTCATTTTTGCCCCTCAAAAAAAAGATGGTAGTCATGGTAGTCATTTTTTTTTTGCGGGTAGATGGTAGTCATTTTGATATAAAAAAAAGGGTGATCCCTATTTCACTCAAATCGTTAGCCCCTTGCAACCACAAAGAAATGGTCACTCCCATCTTCTCACCAACCGTGGAGTTTTTACTTTTTTTTTTCATAAATTCGTTTATTCAGAATATTTTATCTCTTGAACCGTGCGTCCAAATCTTGAAGCGATTTCACCATTGTATTTCTCATATCAAGACCTTCAAAACTAGATTTCATGTCAATAGATTTCAACAAAAAATAAAAAAATAAAAAAACATGTGAATGAAAAAAAGAAAAAAAACGCAAAAAACTAAGAAACAAAAAACCAAAAAGACCGGAAGCCAAAAATAATAATGGTTAAAAATAGAAGAAAAAACCCAGAGCACTGAAGCCCTTTTTTTCACTTCTTTTCGCTTTTCAAGAAACATAGTTGTGCTTCTTGCGGAAGCAACAATATGCCTCCACACCAGAAGCAAAGTAAATCTATGCTTCTTGTGGAAGCAAATATTTTTTGCTTTCTGAAAAGCACAAATGTGCTTCTTGCTGAAACAAATCACAGTTTCTACGTGGATGCACATATATTTTTCTTTCCGAGAAGCACATATGTGCTTCTTGCGGAAGCAAAAAGAAATCGTGATTTTTTTTCCAAACCTAGGGAAAATCCAAAAGCTAGAAAACTCAGAAAAAGCCCACCTAGAACCCGAAAGCGCATATAAAAAATAAAAAAATCGAGAGAGTATGTGGCAGCAGCTAGACGCACCACTTGGCATGCTTTATGGGCACCAAAGGTGACCCCTGGAGGTCCCTGCAAGCGGTAACCACGAGTTAGTTGCTCGCACATAGGTCGTTTCGCATACCCTCCCGCGCGCCTATATGGGCCGGCACATTTCGCTTTTGTCTCCCCACCAGTTTTTGGGAAGATTTTAGAACCTTCACTGAACTAGCTTTTTCTTGTTTCCTTTGTGTTTTCTTTTGGTTTTCCTTTTTTTTTTACCTTTCCATTTTATTTTTTCCCTTATTCAAACCCAAGAACTTATTTTAATTAAATTTTAAACTCGTGAACATTTTCAGATTCGTGAAGTTTTTATAAATCCATAAATGTTTTTTTCAAATTCAAATTATTTTTGAAAATCATGCAAAAAGAACATAAACTTAACGAACAATTTTTAAATTCCTTAACATTTTTTGCCATGTGTGAACATATATTTGAAATACAGGAACATTTTTTAAATTGTGCACGTTTTTTGAATTTTGAGAATATTTAAAAAAAATCATGAACATTTTCTGAACTCGGATCATCTTTTGAAAGCATGCACTATTTTTTAATTTATAAACATTTTCGTATTTTGCGAACATTTTTCAAAATCACAGACAGTTTTTGAATTCACGAAAATGGCGAGAATTGACATGCCCAGGATTTGTCATATTGCTGAAGGAACATTGTGATGCTACATCAACGTAAAATAATGACAATTGCTAACCCCAACATAATTTGCCATCCTGAAAAGTGTTCTCTCAAATTGTGTATTGCCGCCAACTCATAGTTCCCTAGAGGTGTGTGTGCATGAAAGCGAGCGCTTTGACATTCGTGCAGGGGATTTAGAGGGCGAAACTACTATGCGGACGACTTGGTGTGGACGAACTGTGGACGATGGAGGATCGAACGGTCATACCCAGTTGTCCACTACGCATGGATGGCATGATCTGCTGCATCGTGTAGAAATCGTCCAGATCCTATCGTGTGTGTAGCAGCGTTGTTTAGAGGGCCTCGGCTGCGCCTGCAAGTCACGAAATTTCTAACGTCATTAGAGCAATAGAAGATGCAGAAGCAACAAAAAATAACTAACGTTTACATCTTTGAGGCCCAAAAATCCTTCTCCAACAGATGACGTAGATGCAAAAAGGATTTACATCTCCGTCTCCTAGAGATGTATAATACAATACCTCACGATGCAAATATATATCGCCAACCGCCAATTGCCGTTCCATTTGCTTCCCTCCCTTCTTCCTCCTACCCCACGTCGCACCACCGCCGCCGCTTCGCGCTAGATCCGGCACCACTGCCGCCCCAGGTGCCAGCTCCGACGTTCCTCCGCCTTCGGCCGCCGCTCCGCCGCCCGCCGCCACCAAATTCGGCCCTCGTCCATCGCCTCCCCTCGACCAGCCCTCGGCCCTCGTGTCTCCGCTTGTCGCCGCCACTCGAGTCGCCTTGCCCCCCACCTTGTTGCCCGCCGCTGCCGCTTCTCTACCCACCTCCGCACGCCGTCGCTCCAACCTTGCCCGACCCCGCCTCCGCCCGACCTCGCCGCCCCCGCGTCGTCTGCCCCGTCGCCGCCGCCTGACCTCGCCGCCCCCGCGTCGTCCGCCCAGTCGCCGCCACTTCGCCGCACGCCATGCCGCCGAAGAAGCTTCCAAAGGGCAAAACAAGGTCCTTTGGCGAGCGAGCGAAGCCATTCGGCAACTTCAGCGTGGAGTTCTCCATCGGCCGACACTTCTTGCTCGACACCTACCCCACCGCCCACGAGGCCGCGCGTGCCTACAATGTGGCAGTGTGGCGTGCCGGAAGGCCGAAGACGCACCTCAACTTTCTGGAGATTGAGATCCGGGCGGATGCGGAGATGCTCGTGCCGCAGGGCATTCAGATGGAGGAGATACCGAAGAAGAAGGCGAAGAAGAGGCCGGTCATTATCGTTGGTCCCGGTGATAGTGACGAGGCGGCGATGGCGAGGTTCGCGCGGAAGAATCCAGAGTATGTTGAGGGCGAGCAGGGGTACTTCTGGAAAGCATTATGCCGAGCAAAAGAAGAAGAATATGGAGGACGAGGCCAGCCCCTTGACAAGTAAAAATAAATTGTAAATGGCCTCCGCACATGACAAATTCCGCGGCAACCTCCGCGCCAACACGAACGCCATCAAATCTAACACTGCCAATCTCGACGATCTGGCTGCATGGTGGCCAGATTTGGAGAAGCAAGTCTTCAAGATCGGCCTGGCTATCGATGCACTCCAACAGGAGCGCACATCATCTTCTGCACCACATGGCGAGGAAGGGCTCGGCCCGCACACTGCTCCTCTTCCCAGGACAACCTGTGGTCACCTCGACCCCGAAAATGGCGCGATCGGGCTTCCTCACGGGTCAAATGACCACGTCGATGATTTTGTTCATCAAGAAATCTCTGTGATGCTCAACCACTATCAAGTTTTTCGGCTATGAGGTTTTCTCTCCGTGGATTAATCTTTCGAAGAGACGCTGCTCTAATAACTTGTAAAATTTCACACGAAGTATCCAACCAACTCAGAAGGCGCGGGATGAATATTTATATCCGGAGCTATCCCGAGTGGGAAATGACCATTCAGGACATGACGTCCAGCCAATGGCCACCCAACACATAGCTAACGGTCGAATTTCAAACGCACCTGACAACTTTACTTGAGCAACAAGTAAAGTCGACTCATCATTCGAACAATTCTCTCTCAACCCAGAAGATCATCATCTCTAGCTGACAAGTAAATGCCTTGAAAAACAAAGAGATTTGTCTCACATCTCACTTAGAATATGTTTCGGTGAAGCATCAGATAAACATAAGTTTCGAAAAACTTTGACCGCACTTAGTAGTACGGCGGTCATGTGACTCAGATAAGAGAAAAAGAACCACAAAAGAAAATGCCACGGCTTCTCTTCGTCTTCTTTCTTCTCCGCTGCAGCCAGCAGTCTCGGACCATGCTCTGTAGCAATTGCTTCGCATCGGCAATTTTTTGGGTTCACTTCCATCATGCAATATCTTCTATAGCAATCTTCTTGATTGCCTTAGCATTCTTCTGAGTTTGTAGCAAACTCCTCTAAACACCAGGGACCTAATCTCTCCGTGTGCACTAGCAAACACATTAGTCCCTCACTATTTCTGTCCAGCAGTCTCTAAAACTCTCAGGGAACTCAATGGCACCAACATGTGCAATACTGGTGATGGACTCCGGTTCTTCGAGCATGACATGGCTTGCAGGACCAGCCATCAGCATGTTTTATGTGTTTAGAGGACGAGGACAACGTTGTGCATATCCTGACCCGGTGCATCTATATGCTTGGGAAGTTTGGCACAATGTTTGGGAACTACTCCGGGTTAATATGCAAGGGCCGCTACCAATGGACACAACCAGAGTGGTGGTTTAGGGAAAGCAGGAATTTCAAGACTGCAAATAGGAGAGGTTTCGACACGTTGATCACGGCCGGCGGTGACTTGGTCCCTTTGAAAGGAATGTAATGCAAGGGTATTCAGTAGGGTACAATACCAAAATGACACCGATGGAGCTATCTGTTCATGTGTTGCAAGAGGTGGCCTAGTGGAGGCAAGTGGGTGTTGGTGTTGGTGGTCTACAACGTTTTATGAGAGATTAGTCTAGATTGATGTTGGTCTAAGGCGATTGTTTCTGGTCTGTCCGAATGTTTGCATCCATGATAGACTTCTTGTAAGTATTGTTTTTTTCTTTTTATAAAAATATGGTACGTCTTTGGCATAGTTTTGAAGAAAATAGTTCTCAAAACAAAAAGGATGCTATCTGATAGAGCGCAGGTATCGGTGGCTAACATGTAACCTGGATTTTGGATCCGCTGCTGGTACACATCTGCATGGCTCTATGGCCAGTGCGCTAGTAATAATGCTCTGAATGGCTTGTTGTGATTTTTGAGCGGGTACGGAATCTGAATGACTTCGGTGGTCACTTCTGAATCTATATTCTTGAAAACTCTAATTATAGAGAGTACTCAATTATAGAAGTACGCAGCAGATTTGTTTTTGATTTAGCTCTTTTATTATTATAAGAAGAAGGGATCGGGCTCGTCATCGACATCCACGTGGTACTCGCCCAGAAAGCCTAGTTGGAGCTGAGTCAGTCGAGCATGTGTTCAACATGCGCGTTCAGCATTCGGAGGAGCCTTTACAGCGAAGAGCAAAAATGATTGATTTTGTAAGCAGAGTGGTCTAAGTGCCTAGCGAAACCAAGACGACCGGCAGTGCGTGGTAGGAAGCAGAATTTAGCAACCCGGCCATCGATGGCGTCGTCACGGCCGGAGACGGCGGGGGGAGCTCTATGGAGTAAGCTGCAGGGGCAGGTGGTGCTGGTGACGGGCGCCTCCTCCGGCATTGGCCGCGAGTTCTGCCTCGACCTGGCGCGCGGGGGCTGCCGGGTCGTCGCCGCCGCTCGCCGCGCCGACCGTCTCTGCTCCCTCTGCGACGAGATCAACGCGGCCGCTGAAGCCCCCCTGGCGGTGGCCGTCGAGCTCGACGTCGCTGCCGGCGAGTCGTTCGTCGAGGCCGCGGTGCAGAAGGCGTGGGACGCCTTCGGCCGCGTCGATGTCTTGATCAACAACGCAGGTGTACGAGGTACATATTTTGCATGCTCTAGTGATCACTGATCAGTGCTTCTTTTCTAATCTTGCTCTCTTAAATTTACAATTGAAAACAACTTGGTCGTCATTTTGTTCGGGTTAATGCTTCTTCTTTGCATGCATGTTTGTACAAATATTCCAGCAAAAAATCACGCAAATATACGCATGTTATGCAAGTCAAAATAAATTGTGTTCACAAATAAATTGTGAAATGAGGAGGTAAGAGGACCATGTTAAAACTGTACAAAGAACAATGAAATTCACGCAAGTACAAAAGGACGAGAAGATTTCAATCGGGTGGCTATTAATGTTTCCTAGAGTTTGCTAACATTGGAAACCCTTCCAAATTAGAACTCAACAGTATGCTTTTTGTAGTACAACATTTATATTATTCTAGTTAAATCCGTAATCAACATTTATATTAATACCCACTCCGAGGAAGTAAGTGTGTATGCCATGTCATCAAGCTCCGGGGGTGAAGGAAAAAAAGAACTTATAAGTATGTGCTTTGCGTAATTCAGGAGGTGTGCATTCGGCGTTGGATTGGCCGGAGGACGAGTGGGATAAACTCATGAAGACCAACCTTCGGGGAGTATGGCTCGTGGCCAAGCATGTGTGCAGACGCATGCGTGATGCCAAGCTCAAGGGTTCGGTGATAAACATTTCGTCTACTTCCGGTCTTGATGGTGGGATCACACATGGCTCCTTGGCATACTCAGCCTCCAAGTCTGCCGTGCACTCTGTCACAAAGGTACATAACTACATATATATACTGTACTAGCTTGAGCAATGAATATGTATTGTGTTGCTTTCCGATCATAATAATGCTGTAATAAGCATTTGAATATGATTTTTTGCAGCTAATGGCTTTGGAATTAGGAGCACATGGCATTAGGGTGAACACGATTGCGCCAGGAATCTTCAAGTCGGAGATAACTGCTCCCTTATTGCAAAAGAGGTGGCTGAACGATGTCGTGTCAAAGATTGTGCCACTTAAGAAAATTGGTACTCCTGATCCAGCGTTGACGTCGCTGGTTCGTTTCCTGATCCATGAAACTTCGTCGTATATAAGTGGCAACATATTTGTTGTAGACTCAGGCCTCGTCCTGCCTGGTGTCCCAATATTCTCTTCTCTGTAATTTGATTGCTCGACCTTCTCTCTACTGCCGGTTTGTGGTATTCCATCAATTATTGTCCTTTCTTTGTTATTATACCATTCGCTAATCCGACATATGTATCATGCAAGCGTACGTGCTTGCTTAAAATAAGGTTGATGTTTTCCGTTGTCTGGATGATGTCGCTCTCGTCGTGATCATGCATGTGTTTTAAGTGCAGAGTGCGAAAGAAACATAATCATTAATCAACCAGCGTCATTACAATCTTGTTCACAAAGAGTGTCAATCTCATGAACACACTCCAACCACACAGCAGTTTTGGACAGCGAACAGCCCGTCATATATAGCAAGAGCATGGCTAGCTTTATTCTGCTCGTGTTTGATGAAGGTCATTTATCATGCTGGCGGGTCTGCCCAGTTTTGTGCATCCGTAATGTCATTAGGGTATTGCGTTGTTGCAGATGCCGGATGTAATTGTTATCTTCGTGATATTAATATATTTTCTTTATCGAGAATCATGCTGGTGGGCCAGCCCAGTTTTGTTATTTCCTTTCGGGGGACTTGCTGGAGCTAGGAGCAGTTTCGTCGCGCTTTTTATTTTATTTTTATCCTTGTAGCTCCGAACTTTATGGTTTTCATTAATAAAAATCGGAAAGGTGTGAAGCTCTTCTTTTATCAACAAAAAAAATCATGCTGGCAGGTAGCTAGCTGTTGCTTCGTGTCTCCCAGAATTGCAGGAGTCCGCGATCTATTGGCCTCTACTAGTTCCTTGATCATATGCACCGACGTGTTGCAGTCCATGCGAACTACTCCCTTCATTTTTATATGCAGGTATTAGGATAAACATTAATGTCGGTTTAAGCCAATGTTAAAAGTTAGTTTTCCTCCTTGTTTGACATGTCAATTAATGCGTATTTTCTTCTCATTGGTTTATTAATACAGTGTATGCAAACGAACATTCTCACTTTCGCATGCATGCAAGGGATACTAATGTCTTTAGTTGCTAGCACGAAGCAAACCCCATCAATTTTGTCTTTATTACTATTAGTGGCCTTATATAGCTGTAAATTGTAATTTTGATAGTGGTCTTGTATACAAAAATAGGGGAGTATAAGCTTGTCCTCGCAATGATATTGTGGTTGGTAACTATAACTTTTCAGTTTCCAGAATGCTGCGACCAGAGTCAAACTCATGCCATATCTCAATCACAATGGGGCGTGGGTTTATTCTACCCTTTGGGCGTTTTGAGTCGGTGGCAAAATCTACTGGTATTTCGAAGTAACAAAAACAGAAAACAAGGCATGCATAAAATGGTACAACAGGCAGAGCCAGGCAGGGCAACCCAATGTGGTCGTCGACCGAAACACCTCGACCTAACCTGTCCCTTCCCCAACACCACGGCCGATTCGACTATACCATAGGGCAGAGCTGAAGTTGGTTGCTATAAGGGCAACTCCAAGGGTGCATCAAAACACCCCTAAACATCTGACGTCGTCCAAATATTTTTAGGAAACGTTTGGGGCCGGGGCACCGGCTGAACCACTCGGCCGGTCGCACGTGACCTGTGCGATTCCCTTCCATCGGCTTACAAATCGCTCGCCATTAACGCCCCACGCAGCTGCGCTGCTTCCTCTCTCTCTATTTTATCTCGTCGGTCCCTACCTCAGTTGGCCGTCGCCGTTCGCCGCCCCCGCCGGCCGTCCTCATCGCCGGTGGCCACCAGCATCGGCCATCCCCGTCGCCGTTCGCCGTCCTCGCTCGCCGGCCCCGGCAGAAGCTGGAACCACGTCGTGGCCTGCTGCAACCGGTGCCCAGGAGAGCTGCCATCATGGATGGCGAGCATGGTGACGGCGAGCTGCGAGGACGGCGGCGCTCGCGCTGCAAACATGGCGGAGGCATTGCAGAACCTGCCGCACGCCCTCATGCTACAACCGTTAACCAAAATGCTTCAAACCAAGATGAAAAAAGCTTCAACCAGATACATCAAACGCTGCAAGCAGTCATTGCCATGGCGGAGTGCTACAATCATCGACATAAAATGCTATAACCCTTGATGAAAAAGCTTCAACCCGAAACGATAGAGAAAGTATTAACCAAGGCTGCTACAAAGAAAAAAGCTGCAACCATTGATAGAAAAGCTTCGACCGTAGATGAAAAAGCTACAACCATTGAAAAAGAAAGCTACAACCATACACTGCATAACCAGAAAAGTTGCATCCGTTGTAGAGAAATCTTCAATCGTATGTGCGAAATGCTTCAACCTGCGCGTGTCGCCACCTAGCCGCAATCACAATGGATGGCTGGCGGCCGCCGTTGACGCAATTTCGTGCAGCGATGAGCATCAACGGTGAGGGATGGCAGCGGAGCTAGAACCGCGGAGAGCTACAAGCGTAGCCGCTGCAAGCTGCAACCGCAGATGTAGTTGTTTCATGTGTCGCGGCGGCGATAAGGACGGCCGGTGAGGGTTGGAAGCGGCGACGGGGACAGACGGCGAGGGTTGGAAGCGGCGACAGAGACGGGTGGCGAAGGTGTGGACGGGCGGCGAGGGTGTGGATGGGCGGCGAGGGATAGGAGGCGCGGCGCGGCGCAGCCCGAGCGAGGGGATCGAGCCGAGAAAGAAGAAGTTGGGCATGAGTTTTTTCTTTTGCTCCAGAACCAACCGTGCGCGGCTTGCATCGAATGGCTAAGGCTGAACCACCCGAAACTGTTCGGCCGGTGCGTCGGTGCCTAGCATCGTCCAATATTTTTTGCCATCCAAGCCAGGTAATTCGTGCACGAGGGCGACGGCGGTAGTGAGTACCAAACCCAGTCATTCTACTCGTCCCAGGAGCGCCTGCCCTCGTAGACGAGCGCCTGGGCCGCCCTGGGAGGTCGTGCGTCAGCTCCGCCTCCATGACGTACACACTGCCCTCGTCCTCGGCGCCGATGCCGTCTACGGCGAGGACGACGGAGCAGCGGTGAGGCCTGCTGTTGGCGAGGGGGACGGAGGAGGTCGGAGGCCCGGCTGGAGGGGCGAAGCTGGACGTGGCGCATACCTGGGGTGGGGTGGGACGCGACAGCGGCGCTGGGGAATTCCTCTGCACCCATGCCATCGGACCACTATACATAGGCCACTCGAAGCTCGCGGTCGTTCAACATTCATGTAACAGGATTCACATACTGAAATTATTTTTCAGCGTTTGACATTGAACACAAGTCATCATACTCCCTAGGCAGAGTGTGGCGTTGCAAAGACCGGGCTACATGGAGCTCGTTTTGCAAAAATATATATGCATATTATTCGAGCATGCATAAAATTTCATGAACTAATTTGATTCTTTGCATGCTAGACAAAAAAGACAAATATCTGATACAAATACTACAAATAAAAAACCTCTTAATCTGTGTATTTCTTTTTTTTTGTACATCACATATGAATAAATATGTTCATGAAATTTTATACATGTATACTACAAGTATCTATGTACATGAAAACTTTTTTTCAGATTTTTTTTTGAGATATGGAAAAGGTATTTTTGACTGGAAGAAAAATAAAGAGCTCAATAGAGCTCAGTCTCTGTAGGCACTTTTCGCCTACGGCACTCCTACTTGGCCAAGAAACCAATTGCGTGCTTAGAGCAACTTCAACGGGCCGACCTAAACGGATGGTGATTTTGTCCGTTTTTTGTCCGTTTGGGTCGGCCAGACAGACACAGATGCCCACTTCGGCATTTGGGTCGGCGCCTGCGCCCAACGCTAGCCGATACCCATTTTGACGGCGCCAAAAAAATGAACGCATGCATATTAAAAAAAGAGAAACATCATTAATTAAACATTAAAGCCGGCCATGAAGGCCGGCAAAAGTCCACGCGTCCACACATTTGCATTAAAAAAACAGCCTAAACTACGAGGCGGTGCGTTGCCCTAGGCGTCGTCGTCGTTGTCGTCCTCGGGGTCCGTGAGGTCGATGAGCGTCGTCGCTGGCCCGGTCCAGGCGAACGTCGTGTTCCAGAGCGCCACCATGTCGGGCTGTGCC